TGCCACATTCTATGCCTACACAACAAACTATATCAAGTACAAAGTATTTATACACTCAAATGTCACAATATGTTGGCTAGTTACAAACTGTGACATACAGAATGGGAGAAAAGAAGTCAAAACAACAAGTTCTACTGAAAGCATCTGAGGTGTAAGACAACAATCTCACCATCCATGATAGGGTAATCATGATAGTGCTGGTCAGCAGAGGGACCCTACATTTAACATGGGCTCTTAACCCATTGGGGTGGGGGGGTATCCTTTGTATTCCTGAGGCTTGAACTCTGGTAGATGTGAAGGCATCATCTGTGAGCAGAAAAATCTGTACACAGATGTGAGTGGGGATCGAACTCAGAATATTCTAAATGGGTATAACAGCTTACCCCAAGACCTTTTTCTTAAGGACCTAATTTAAGTGTCTCTAGTGCTGCTCCCAACTCAGTCACCATGTTAATATGGCCGATGGTAGACAACTAAAAGAACATGTGAGTGGCATGATGACATCACATATTATCATGAGGATGGCACCCATGCATGATAAACACAGTAGTCCCATAATCTTGCCTGTTTCCACTGAAAAACTGCTTCCTCCTTGGATCTTTTTTTTTTCTTAAAATGGCAATTACTGTGGAAACTCTTTCTGCTCTAAAGAATGTACTACCATTGGACAGGCTACCCTCCACAGTGCGACCAATCTTAAAAACAGATATGCTATTATTTGTGCTAACCTGAAAGCCATCTTTGCATTAAGTACGTGTCCATCATCATCTATGTAGTGGAGTTTAACACTTGTTTTGTAGCCCTACTTTTCTTTGAAGTCTGAGGTCAGACCACTGTAGCGCTCTCAACGGACAAACTTTTCATCATCTCTGAAAAAGATAAAGCAAGGCTGTATATTAAATTCCTTAATTAGTCTTGCTTGCTTACTTCATCCTGTCTTGACCATCACGTACACCTCCCTAATACTCAAGTGGGTCATTCCCGAGAGACAAGACGAGACTTGCAATTCAGTTATAGAGGATTTGACAAAGTATTCAAAGCTCAGATATCCTTTACACTTTAAAATCTCCTACTCTACTCCATAATCAAAGCAAGTGGCTGATCCTTGTGCCCACGACAACTCTCTTCCCTAAGGTCTGCTGCGGAGAAGACCTGACAGCTACAGGACAATTTAAGTGACTTAGTCTCCAGCCACCTGCTCATGCTAGTTCCTCGCTTGTAGATTTTTACACCCAGAAGATGGAGGTAATACGTTCCTCCAAAACATCGGTTTACACAGTAGCTGTACAGTGCCACATCCCAGAAGACAGCATTCTTCATGAGTGACGTTCATTACATACCAAGACACTATACGGGGGGGGGGGATATTATCTCTGTAACAGACTGTGGATGTCCATAGTGTTCTGAGACATCAAGGCTCCCATATTTTCTAGACAAACGGCTCACAGATGGTGGTGAAGTTGTCGCCTTATGCACCAAGCTATCCCTGTAACAGACTGTGGAGGCCCATAGGGTTGTGAGACATTAAGGCTCCCACATTTTCTAGACAATCAGCTCATCGATGGCAGTGAGGTTGTCAGCCTTACGCACCGGCCGCACTTTACCCCCTACAAAAATTCCTGGTACTCATTTCTGTTAAGAGGCTAAGTCAAACCCAGGGCGATAGTGCAGCTGGAAGGATTAGGTCAAGTGAAAAAATTAATGACCTCATTGGGACTTGAACCCATGACCTTCCAACTTGTAGCATAGTGTCTCAACCAACTATCCTACCGCTACAAATATTAGACAGCAACGATTTATGTGTTTCTACTAAAACCCCTAACAAAACTGCAGTATATGATTAAATATGGTACAGCATTTATGAAATACTTAAAATATAAATGCACAATTAAAACCAGTACTAAAGTGTCAATATCTCTTAATCTGAATAGTTCTATGTTATACATAAAGAATCTGCTAGTGACTCACCAGTCTCAACTTCATTCCAAGCTCCACGTTTGCCTTCATCTTTCTGATGTTTCTTCTCTTCAATCATTTCCCTCTCAGAGTCCTGTAATGTAAATTTTGTATGAGATTAGCAGAACACAAATGCACAGTCCAAAAATTACCAATTCAAAATTACCTTGAGACATACTGAAATCTGAACTGCTTACCCACCAACCACTGTATACAAAATTACTGCACTGTAAAGTACTGACTATACTGCGTAGGATTTGAGCTTCTGACAGCAGTAGTTTTGAAGAGCTCTGTCATCTGGGATATAATGCTGTGTAGTCTGTCGAAAGTCAACAGACATTTTACAGAAACACGTCGCCTCCATCTTCAGGGTTGAAGAATAAATCAAGCAAGAAACCAGTGCTGGCAGGTAACAAAGCCAAGCTTCCTACCTGCTTCATGCTGGCTTCTTGTTTTGTTTATTCTTTGAGCCTGAAGATTCAGGTGACATGTTCCCCTGGAAATTTGGATGATACCCCAGAAGACAGAATTCTTCTGGCTAGACTGATCATCTTGAAACCACTTTGCCAAAATCTTTTTAACATCATAGTATGCTTTAAAGTTAAAGATCCATTAGAAACATACTCTCATTCTGCCAAGCAATGTACACCTGCCAAACTACTTCTGAGTTTGCAGTGAGAATACTGTGACAATTAACATTCAATTCACCTTTACTGAATAAAATTACAAGAACTATTGGTTTTTCATTTAGTCATGATATGAGCTATTTATTCATCCCTATTTCAATTTCACATATAATTCCTAGTCA